CATTTATCAAATTTTAAATCTCTTTGTAATTGAGGGTAAATACGTAAATACGTTTTTTGTCTTCAAAGAAAATAAGGATAAAACAGGGTTAAAAAATTTTCAAGATTGTTTGAGTAATATTAAAAAAATAGCATCATTTTAGTCAAAAACCAAACTTCCTAGGTTGTTTTAGCTCCCAAATATTAACGACTTCAAAAAAGATTATAAATGATTATAAACAAAAGTTTATAAACTCAATCATTTCCTCTCTTGTTTACCGCATTACGAATTCATCTAAAGTTCACTCGCGAATTCACAACACCTTGTATTTGCTTCTCAAACCATACCTGATCATTCTAAAATAACAACTTTTCGTACAATACAAGGAAAACATGACTGCATCTAGGTGCTTTGTCAAAGTAATGCGGCTTTCGATGGTTTCTGTAATGACCCTGTCAAGAGATCAAAATAGTTACGAGAGATGATCGAGCCAAGACCTAGTTGATGGAAGAAAAATTGTCAAGCATGACGGGATTTTAAGAACGAGGTGGCCTGAAGCACAACGTGGTGAGAAGCACGAGATGGCAAGGTGCTTTCAAACTTGATATTTTTACAAAAATATAAAAATTTGCGGAAGCACGACATATCTGCTTGGGATTGACGCGCTTGAAATCCGCAAGCACGACAAATCAGAAGCACGACCAATCCCGTAAGCACGAGGTGTCACGATCTTGTGTGACGAGTCATCGGAAGCACGACAAATCCGCAAGCACGACAAATCTCGTAAGCACGAGGTGTCGCGATCTTGTGTGACGAGTCATTGGAAGCACAACAAATCCACAAGCACGACAAATCTACAAGCACGGCAAATCCACAAGCATGATAAATCCGCAAGCACAAGGTGTCGCGACCGTGTGCAACGACTCATCGAGAAGCACGACACACACTTCTGACCGTCCTACTGTGCCTACTTGCTTGCTTAACCCTATAAATAGGACCAAGTAGCTCTCATATCTTACATAGAAAACGTTCCAAACCTCTGACCAAAATAGTTCGTGATCGTGTCCAATCCGCGGTCTGTTGTCGGGAACCATCCAGTAGTGCCGTGAAATTTTTAGGGTAAGGCGTTCCGATCCTAAATTTTCTATCTGACTTAGTTTTGACTTGTGATCTTGAATCCAACCCTTTGTGGTTTTGATAGTTGGAATGATCGAGATTAAAGACAAAATTCTGTCTGTTTTAAGGAAAGGGAAGATTTGTTAGATCGTGGAGTAGTCGAGGAACCTAGATCCGTTCTAAGCCTAAATCCGAGTCTAAGTCCTAACCATTTGAATAAGGTGAGTCTTGGTGATGCTTGTCGTGTGCTAGATGAGTAGAGCACACGTTGCTTGTTTATTGTTATGTTTTATAGCCATGGAGGTTCTTGATAGAATTTTAGGAAGTTGGTTAAGTATTTTCTTTGATTGTTTGTGCATGATGTTTGATTGTGTGATTGCATGCTGCATGAGTCATGGGATGTTTGTGTTTGTATTTGCCACTAACCTTTGTGGATGCAGGATTTCTAGAAAATGCTGATCTACGTGTGATCTGTCTAGATACATGCGGGTGAAAGGTAAACTTTTATGTTGTGTGTGAGGTTAGGCGTTACAAGTGATCAAGAGGATCATGTAATGTTCTGACAATTGTAGAGAGCGGTTGACACTTCCAGATATCGCTAGTCACGGAGGAACGAGATTGCAGCCTAGGGCCGTGACTACCGATTGTAATACCCGGAGGAACGGGATTGCAGCCTAGGACCGTTTTTTTACATGTCGGATCACTGGTCTTTTAGCCTTTGTGGTTAGGGCCGTGTGAAGTAAAAGGGACAATGGAAGGAAGTTGTCAATTCGCGGTTTAGGGTTTGGTTACATGAGAAAAGATTGCATTGTGGAATGTCCTTGGTTATGTTATGTGTGATTTATCTATTCCGCATGTG